TGAACTAAGAATAATATATAACATAAAAATTATTATTTTTTGATTGCTATAAGTTGATACATGGAATAATGGAACTCAAAACATATCATAAACGAAAAATTTATTAATCAAGGCCCCACTGACGTGGCTGACTGGATAGCTGATCAGCATTTTAATGTATAATGTCATAAATATAAGCTCGGGAATTCAATTGGGTAGGCTATCCTTATTGAATTTGTTGATGATATGATGGAATCTTGGAAAAAAGAGTTGCAACGTTTTTCATCATCGAAATGCATGAATTAATTTTAAATTATAACGTGAAGCAACAGTTATTATAAGTAATATGATTGTCACAGCCTATATTGAAACTTTGCTTTTCAAAGTATGATAATTTTTTATTGTTTTTTTTCTTAAGACGTATATGGTTCTATTACTGTTTAGAATTTTTTTGATAATTTTTTAAAATTTGAATTATTTTTTTTTAAATCTTCTATATATTAATTTTTTTTTCTTTCTAAAACTTGATTGTTTATACGCTTAAAATATTTACTTTCAAATTTTTTTACAAATTATTTTTTTTCATACCCTCAAATTTTTATACTTTTGAATTAATTTATTTTAAAATTCTATTTTTTATATTAAAATTTATTTTCTCTTCACATCTTAATTACTCTATTCTTATATTTTGAATTAGAGTATAGTATCTTGAGAGTGATCTTATTTTTTAATTTATTCTATTTTGAATAATTATAGATGTTATTCAATCAAATTTAACTTTAAATTATTTGGAATTTTATATTTTAAATTTATCTTTTTATTTATATTTTTTATTTTTTACTAAATTATTTATGCATATATATCTCTTATGATTTAAAATATTTTTCCTTTAAATATTTTTAATTTTTTTTAAATTTAAGTACACGTAATGTACAAATACTTGCTACTTGTAATATATATTGGCATATTGAAGGTTTAAAAGACTATCTATCTTGCCATTTAGAGAAAAAATTTAAAAAAAAAGTATCTATCTTTCAAACGAAATTAATAGTTCCAAAAAGTTTGCGTAATGCAGTGTTGTTATTTTATTTTATTTTGGAATAACTAATGCAGTGTTATTTTGTTCTTCTTTTCTTGTTCAATTGGTTCAGAGATCAAAGATGTCAGTTTTCACTTATTTTTCATTAGCCAACGCATTTAATTGACAGATTTAAACGTTGTGGTTAGATTAGTAAATTAATTTAATACATCTTACAAAGTGCCAACTCAGCAGCCCTTGACTACTCTAAATATATAGTAGTAGTTGGATTAATAAATTTCACACGGAACTAGTTAGCATGCTTAACCAATGTTTTAATTGATTCATTTGCTTTTTTTGGTGAATAAACTTTTTAATAGTAGCCTCAAAAATTCAAAGTATCAATTCTAGATATATTAAGGAGGGGGAGAAAATATGATTTATATATATATATATATATATATATATATATATATATATATATATATATATATATGGATTAACGTATTTTCTACCACTTAAAAAAATATCGTTTTGGGATTTTAAAAAAAACTGGGTATTTTAATAAAACATATGATACAAAAGAAAGTAAAATTAGTAAAGAAAAAAATATTTATCCTTCTAAAAAATATAGAATTGTATCATTTTAGTTAAAATTATTGAATTTTATTTCATATTTAAATTAAAAAAAATCTCTCAATAACTTCCCAGCCACTCTCCCCCATCATGATCTTCCAATTCTAGCTGTTTTTCTTACCCTAAACACAATAGTTTTAGGTCAGGATATATTTACCACCAAAAATTTTTACAACATTTACAACTAACTTAATCACCGTTGATTTTCGTCAATCTAACAGTTATAATTTATTGAGAATTAATAATTAATTAATAAATATGATCCAATAATTCTCAATAAATTATAATCGTTAAATTGACGGAAATCAACGGTGATTAAGTTGGTTGTAAATGTTGTAAACTTTTTTGGTGGTAAGTATATCCTTCCCCATTATTTTAACTAAAACGACACAATTATATGTTTTTAAAAAACACAAATATTTTTCTCATTATTAAATTACATTGCATTTCTTTTTCTTTAATGTCAAAACAAAGTCGGTTTGGAATTGTCAAAACAACTTTATTTTGGGTTGTTAAAAATAACTTCTTTTTTTGGTAAAAAGTTGAAAATAACTTTTTTTATTTTTTGATAGCCGAAAATAACTTTATTTAAGGATAATTACGTAAAGACACCAGCTTAAGAATAATCTTTGCCCAAACCAAAATTCCATGGTCGCATTTCACACTGACTCATTTAAATGATAGATTTGCAGACCAATAAAATTAGCCAATTAATTGATAATGAGGCATATATATATATATATATATATATATATATATATATATATATGATAAAATCATTTCTGCAGCCGCTTTACGTACAGCAACGACAACGACAGTCCAATAAAATTAGCCAATTAATTGATAATGAGGGCATATATATATATATATATATATATATATATATATGAGAAAAATATTTCTCAAGCTGATTGAGATAAATTTATCTCCGGTCACCCCAAAACTACGTCGTTTTGATTATTTATTTTCTTATATGTATTGATTCACCTTTGAATGGTTATGATTCCCCTTTTCTCTCTCTTCCTTTATCTCCATTGTTCCATCTTTGTACGGTTGTGATTTAGTAGCCGGAGATAACTTTATCTCCAGCAGCATAAGAAATGATAAGCCCTATTTTATATATATATATATATATAGGCAAAATGATTTCTGCAACTGCTGCACCTACAGCTAGCTAGGATCCACGTGCGGATCCTAGGATACGGCACCAGATCCTTGTTTTTTTTTTTTAAAAACGCCGTGGGACCCACTTTTCTGTGTTCGCTGTAGAGAGTGTTATCTACGGCGGCTGCAGAAATGATAAGCCCATATATATATATGGGGCAAGATATTCTTACACCGGTGTAAGAGTTAGAAGTCTTACACTCAATCTTGACCATTGATACACTTGTATTCAATGGTTCACATTACTAAAAAATTTGAACCATTAGATATAAGTGGGATTAGCGGACAAGATTAAGAGTGTAACTTACACCGGTGTAAAATGATCCTAACCCTATATATATATATATATATATATATATATATATATATATATATATATATATATAGAGAGAGAGAATAGACTCTCATATTGTTGGAGAATATTTTTCTCTCCTACATATTTCCATGTTGTTTATTTATAAGTGGGTGGGTCTTATACATGATTATGTCTATAACGAATAAATCTTTGGTACTACTGTTGTACCTATATTCAGTGCATCTTATCAATGAAAGCAGTACACATTAGAGGAGAGAGAAAATATTTGTCAGAAAAGAAAAATATTTAACTGACATGTAATATTTTCATTGGTGGGATGCACTGAATCTTTGGTACAACAGTAGTACCAAAGATTTATTCGTCTATAACATGAGAGAGCTTCTCTCCTATTGCATGAGATTAATAAAGCTCATATATATATATATATATATATATATATATATATATATATATATGGGAAAAATATTTCTCAAGCTGCTTGAGATAAGTTTATCTCCAGCCACCTCAAAACTACGTCGTTTTGTTTATTTATTTCCTTATATTAATTTATTCACCTTTGAATGGTTATGATTTCCTTTTTCTCTCTCTTCCTTTATCACTATTGATCCATCTTTATACGTTATGATTTAGTTGCCGGAGATAACATTGTCTCAAGCAGCTTGAGAAACGATAACCCCTATATATATATATATATATATATATATATATATATATATATATATATATATAAAGAGGTTATATTTACTATCTCTTACTACTATGACTTAATAAATTATAACCATTAGATTAACGAAAATTAACGGGTAAGATTTAGCAATAAGAGGTAGTAACTATAACCTTTATATATATATATATATATATATATATATATATATATATATATATATATATATATATATGAGGTTTACATTTCTGCTACTGTACGTGCAGCAATCAAATACTTGACATATATACTTGAAAGCATTAAATGCGGGGAATCATAACCATACAAAGGATGAGAGCATTAAATGTGGAGAATCATAATCATACATCTGTCGTTGTTGTACGTAAAGAGGCTGCCGAAATGATTTTACCTTTATATATATATATATATATATATATATATATATATATATATATATATATATATATATATATATGAGGTAAGATATTTTGACACCAGTGTCAAATTTTAAATTTGACACTTCATTTGAGAGCCATTAGATCAAAAAAGATCAATGGTGTCATATGCTTGCAAATTAGAGTCGTTGATATTTTTTGATCTAACGACTCTCAGACAAGGTGTCAAATTTAAAATTTGACACTGGTGTCAAATGATCCTACCTCTCTCTCTCTATATATATATATATATATATATATATATATATATATATATATATAGTTTCCTACGTATGTGAATGCTGTTTTTACATTATTGCTTGCGCAGCCATTTAAGAAACTGATAATGTTTAAAGGAGAATTAAAAATTCAAATGGTTGAATTCTACTCTTTAACTTGCCCCAGCGTACGTTATTATTCAAGCTAAGTAAGAGCGAAAGTAGTTCGCTATTTTATTACTTTATATGCTAAAAAATTTAGATAAAGGAAATGCTAATGTTATACGTAAAAGTTGCTAGTACTGATTTATACAAGAAAGCAAGCGTAACTTTTTCTGGATTCAAGATTTTTCAATAAACAAAAAAAAAATGAAAAATAATATATTTGCACAAATTATGTGAATTATGTTCGTAATCTAAACCATTCAAAAAACATAGCAATACCATGATATTATCTACTAACTTCGCGACATTATATATATATAAAAAAAGATTATGATTTCTGCTTCAGTGGTAACAAAATATTCTACCACTGAAATATAAAACAATGAGAGAGAAAACAATAATGGGATCCATTTTTAGGGAAAAAAATATTCCTAAAAATGTGCGGTAAGAGAGAGAGAAAGATAAAACATGGTTCCCATATACTTTTATACTTACCATCACAAAAACTTACCATCCTTACAACCAACTTAATCACCGTTTATTTCCGTCAATCTAACAGTTATAATTTATTGAGAATTATTGGGTCGCACTTATTAATTAATTATTAATTCCTAATAAACTCAATAAATTATAACCGTTAGATTGACGGAAATCAACGGTGATTAAGTTGGTCGTAAATGTGGTAAACATTTTTTGTGATAAGTATATCCTACCTCATACTTTTATATGTAAAAGTGTGTACGAGATGAAATTATCTCTTATAATATTAGAAACATTAAATCCTATAATATACCAATGCATATAGACCCTCTCAAGATCTCTGTTCCTCAAGTACTACAGGCAGATCCAACTTTTCACTGCCTCTCTGAATCAGCAACATTACTTTATCTCCTACATTATACTCATCCAATGCTTTCAACAATTCAGCTTTGCTCTTGACCTGGAAAGGATGCACCAAAGTTATCAAATTAATGCATGCCTTGTCTACTTAAATAGAGGTTAACAGTATGTGGAGGAGCAGTATTTGTATTTTATAAACCAGACACATAAAAGGCATAGGAAAGATAAATAAAGGTTAACAATATAAAATGAATGTTTTGGCCTTCAAAAGAGCATGATTTAAAAGAGTTTCTGAAAAAGAAGGCTCACAGGTTTGTTGTCAACTGCAACAATGATATCTCCAAGGACTATATTACCAGCAAAGCCTCTTGTAGTGGGATTTAGCCCAACTTTTGCAGCAAGACTATTTGCAGGAACCTAAGGAACATAAGTTCTTGGGAATTAAAGAATGATTTGGAAGGAACTATAAATACAAAGTTTAATTACAATATAAGAAAAAATCTCATGAAATTACCTTAAGAACAAGAGCTCCGTTTCGAACATTGAGTTGATTTGCAATTAAGTCTGGAGCAATATCCACATTCAAACCACCTCTAACAACCTTAAATAGATGAACCATGAACTCAAATATTATATATGATAAAATGAATAGAGAAAAGATAAGCATAAAAACTGTTGTTGTTTCGCTGTGTCTGCTTCACAAACTAATACTGAAGCATTTTTTTTCCTCTTTAAAATCTAGAAAAGTAAAGTTTTTTATAAAACAAAAAAGGGGCATAGGCCACAAAACCTTATCAAGAAGCAAAAAATGTATATTGCAGATCATTATTTTCACAACAAAGCTAAAGATTTGCCTAGATTGTTTGTATATGAGTGTGATATTCCATGAAACACTTACTTTGCCAAATTGAATCAACTGAGGAACAATTCGAAGTACAGTTGAAGATGGGATGGCAAATCCTACACCAGCTGATGTTCCTGCAATAACAAGAAAAAGGGGAATAAAAGTGAAGCATACAAAAGTTAATAAGAGCAACTGGAACTTATGGCTTATGCAGTCACTTCCTCATGCATAGGAAAGTAAATAAACCAACAATGTAATGAAGAAAAAAGTAGTTGAAAAATTTTGTCAAGTGGACGGAAAAGATTTCCTCAGCTACGATATTCAAACATACATCAATGTTCGGTAATATAATCTAACTTTTTCAAATTGTGATGATAATAATGATGAAGAAACTTGCCTGTCTGAGTGAATATTGCAGTGTTAATCCCAATTAAGCCTCCTTTTGAATCCAGAAGAGGACCTCCACTATTAGAGTCACAGGAAAAGTAAGAAATGCAGTATGTTATGTGACAGCCACTAGTTAATACCAATACTGAAAAGAACAACTTTTTAACCAGGTGAACTGCACCAAACTTAAGGGATAAAACAGGTCAAGAAAAATGGAAAGGGAACTATTCCTAGTTCAGATATGCAAGGGAGCCTTTTGTAACCTGTTCCCAGGATTTATGGCTGCATCAGTTTGAATACCACCACCAATTGTGACACCAGTTTGACTAAAAATGTCTCGATTAAGGCCGCTAATAACCCCAACTGTGAGAGTGTGATCAAAGCCAAATGGATTTCCAATTGCCAAACATTGCTGCCCAACTTTTAGAGACGATGACTGCCCCACCTTGATAGGCCTTAAAATATCTTCAGGGGCTTCTACCTGCAACTGTAAAGTTATTAATATCTCATCATGTGTATGATACATGCACAATTTTATTAACTATTTAAGGAGAGTAATAGAAGGTGTGATTCACAGAGTCATTAGTTTAGGGGCTTGATTGCTTAAATAGGAATACAAAGGGGTAAAATGCACATGACCCTAAGCTAAGGATAGTCTTGTATATTTTAGCCTAATATTAAATGTTCCACTACACCAACAATAAACCACTCCCCATTAAACTCCGACTAATAAGGTTGGGGCGAGGGCAATCCTTGTATGCAACCTTAATCCCTGCATATTTCCACTACACCAACAATATTTAAAAAAAAAAAAAATGAATACTGACAAACTCATTATTAATACCACTCTAATTAACAAAGAAAGCAACATCTAAACATGGTTATTTTGATGCACAAGTAACATCAATGAACTCAAGATAAAACAAAAACAAAATATTTTAACATTGAATAATGAGTTAGCTATCAAATGGAGTAGATTATAGGAGTAAAGCTGAAACAAACAAATACAACTATACAAGACCTGGTATGCCAATAGGAACCGCAATAGCAACAACAACAAAAAAAGTCCAACTTGGAAGCAAAATATTCTCCTAGAATGTTTGTATGTCAAGGTACGAGACAGATATATTGTTAAGTAGAATGCTTATGAAAAACTGACAAGTCATTTACAGAAAAACAAAATAAAATAAAAAAAAGTTCACAAGTTTATGTCCTAGTCATAACATGCCTAGGAAAGGATATGTATTCCATCATCCATGTGAGTCTCAACTCAAGAATATACCAAATCATCTGCAATCAATATACACAGTCAAAGCCTTAACAAGTGAATAAAGAGGTCTTCACCTTATACCACATTCATAGTTTGCACAAGATACAGCATCAATCAAGCCATAATTTCCCTAGTGAACTCAAATGATTGGGAATAAATACAGAAAGTTAAAAAGAAATCATGCCTTCAAGACAGCAAGATCCTTTAAACGGTCAGCTCCAATAAGTGTACCTTCAAAATTCTTTTGTACCCTTTAGAATAGAAAGTGTCAGAAATACATATATTAATTATTAAGTTAGGAACAGCTGTATATGCAAAGAAATATAGTCTCCATGAGCCTCACCCTTCTGATGCTAGGATATTAACTCGTGCAACAACCTGACCAGAGCTTGGGTTTCTTGAAAGGGCATTGCCAATCACTGGGCAATACAAGAATGTAACAATCAGAAATCCTCACCTGATCTTAAAAGCCTAGTGAATAAACTTAAACTAAGATTGGAAAAATATACACACACAAAATAATAAGTGCATAAGGTTAAGTACTTCATTAGAGCACAGTCATTATGCTACGCAAGCAGCAAAACAGGCTAAAAATTCCAAAGAATGGGGGAAAAGGGGAGAAAAATCAGAAGATATTTAAAAGCCAAAAATTTTGAAAAAATCCTTGTTACTGCATTGAGAATTCATGTCCAGCTCAAGAAGTCCAATTAAATGTGATCAATACAGGGTAAAGGCCTGATCCACATAAGAGAAACCTTATACGCATTCACTCATAGCTGACTAAAATCTTAGTGAAGAGAGCCAATGTAGCCTAAATGTATATATCTACTATTTTGGACATACAAGAAAGTGAATTAAGACTTAACATAAAACTCTATTTTCTCAACTTGTTCTCACCATGATAATTTGTCACAATGTGGCCGTCCTCATCCCAAACTACTCCAGAACCATTTCCTTCAGGAATCTGCCAGTATGAATACAAAAAGTAACTATTGTTTAATTCCTAAATCATGTAGGACAAACAAAATCCTATTATGCTTATAAGCTAGAGACAATAAAATGATTAATAAATTAGATAGTCCTTGATATAACCTTAAAACAATTCAACATCAGATATTGGTATTTAAATACTATGTTACCTCAACCACTCCAGTTACATTAAGTTGAGGACGCAATGTCACATCAAAGATGTTAACAACAGAGTATGTGTTCCTTTCAAATAGTTGGACAATTCGATCCTGCCAATCATAATGAATTGGAATAAGCTGCCAGGAATACTGCTATGGAAGGGTTAAAAAAATGTGTCACACAACCACAATAGACAAAAGAGGGGCTATAGTTGAAAGCTGACCTCTGTGGGAAAGAGGGGCCCAGAAGAAAACATAGGTGGGGTTACTTCTTGAAGTGTAACTGATGGATCTCCCAATGCTAGGGCTGTACATTTATTATTTATTGCATGATAAGAAACTTTGCTAGTAAATACTAGTGGAGACTTCTATTAAAAAATATAACAGTTTGTCTATCATAAAAGGGAAAACCCCAGTGCACAAGGCTCCCCGACTTACGAGGGTAGGGATGAGGTCAATTATACGCAATCTTACCCTTACATTTTTGCAAAGAGACTATTTCCTAGACTCGAAATTGTGACCTTTCGGTCACAAGGAGCAACCTTACAACTGCTCCAAGGCTCACCCTCAACAGTTTGTCTATCATGAAAGAACATAAAAACAAATTAGAACACAGCTGCCAAAATTCTATTGCTGCACTCCACAATTCCATATCAATTGATTTCATATTAAAATTATGAATTATAATGCCATTGACTACTCAGGACTCCATGTAACAAACCAAGAATCAAAATCAAAGGCACCAAACTGAAGGTGATGCACCTCTTCAGCATTTACAAAATGAAAATTATAAAATTTTCAGCCATATCTATAAATGCTTCAAGTGGTTAAAAAATAAAAAATAAAAGAAATACATGACATTGGCCATTCAAATTCCAGTTCAAAAATTATGAACTTTTTAATATACAATAAAACAAGTTGAACATAAAAGCAGAACCGTGCGGACCTGACAAGTACCTTGAAGAACAGAAACAGGAATACATAGTCAAACTCGCCATTAACACACGTCGTGTTGGGGACAGAATAATGTTCCTCAGCACTGCACCAGAATCCTGAGCTTGCTCTTGAACAATCCTACACGTGCAATCAAATTATCCACACCACATCAAAAAAAGCTACAACCCCATATAAGAATAAGTAAAACCAACAATGAAAATGCACTCTTATGATTAATGACATGCACAAAGATTCAAACTTTTGCCAATGAAACCACAAAAATCACACACCCACTTAGAGTTTGTTAGTGAAACAATAGTCTGTAAGAACAATGAAGCTATATGGTATGATGGGGGAACCTTGAAATGGAGATGAGTTTGGGAGGAACGGCGTCGTTTGGTGAGTGTTGGGAGTGAGAACAGACAGAAGACATGCCATCAAAACAAAGCTCACGGCGTCTCAGAGCACTGCTTGTGTGAGTTGGCACTCCCAGAGACCACAAATTGCATGCTGATACTTGCATTTTCTCCCCAAAAAATTAAAAAAATAAAAATAAAAATTGTGGGGTGGATTTGAATGACTAAAGAAGAATGAAAAGTTGCAAACTTGAAAGCTAAATTTGGCGAGAGAGAGAGAGGGAGATAAGGGTTGTTTGATTCTGAGACAGAGAACCTCTGACTATTGCTGCTGTCCTAACTTAAAAAAAAAAAAAAAAAAAAAAAATCACTATTTTTTCTTTTCTTTTTGTTTTATGATTATTTTAAAAAATAAATATTATCTATATTTCAGTAACTTGATCTGATACTTTAAATTGAATCTAATTAATTTAGTTTGGGTAAAATAATTTTTTTGTAAAAATTAAATCAACTTTAATCATACTTATTTGATTAATTTAGCATGGTCTGGATACATTGGGATCAGACTCATTTAATTAATTTAGACATTAAGTCAAATCAAATGAGTTAGATTCAAGTTAATCAATTTTTTTTCAAAAAATAAATAAATTAAATTCAACTCGAATCATATTTTTTATAAATAAAACCTAAGGAGAGAAGAAGTTCCTTATGAAAAGTACATCATAAGTTTTTTTTTTTTAAGTAAACAAAAGGCCTAAGTTCAGCAAGAGAGAAAAACAAAATAAAACCTAAGAAGGAAGAGATATAATTCGATCTCTTCCCACTGAAGTAAAATCAGACAAGAATAACAGGTGAATTCCTCCATGAGGTTTCTCGAAGAATATTTGGAGAATATTTGGTTCTCTTACACAGGAGCATCAAGAAAGTAGTTTTCCAGTAGTCAACGCACATATTGTCTTCTCTAAAAATATGTTGAAGCTTAACATCTCAATCTCTATCAATCCATGTCCCGAGACAACAAACACATCTCACGGACTGCTGCACCTCTCTTGGTGAGCTCAGTGATCGCTAATAACGAGTCACTCTCCAAAATGATTTTTCTATATCCTACATTCCACGCCTTCTTTAAATCGTACAAGATAGCCCAAAGTTCAGCTCTGAATGTTGTACAAAACCCCAGTCTGTATGCAAATCCCCCAAACCAACTACCTTGGGCGTTATGAATCACACCCCCACGAGCTGCTAAATCGGGATTTCCATGCGCAACACCATCTGTATTGATCTTTACAAACCCATCATCTGGAAATTGCCAAGAAATATTTAATTGACTATAGCCAGCTGATACACGAGACTTCCTTATGCCTGTAGTTAACTTCACATCCTGCGCTAACTTCATTATAGTTTCAATTTTAATTTCGAGTGAAGAAACTATTTCTCCCTGGTTGATTTTATTTCTCCAGTGCCAAGTCTTCCAACAAGTGATAAGAAACATAGAGATCCAATCATCCGAAACCTTATAATTAGCATCCACTCCAAAGTTACAGGTAAACTAGGATATGATGTCCATAATAAAGAAAACTGATTTCAGATTATTTTGGATAATCACCTCCTAAACTTTTTTGGTGTTGCAACAATCTCAAGAGCATGTAATATTGATTCATTCTTAGTAGAACAACACGGACAGATATTGACACCTCCATTCCAGTTGGCAGTTAAACATTTTGTCATTAATCATTGGAGCACCATCTTCCAAGCAAAAATTTTAATTTTCTAAGAGCCATTCCAAGACCAAAGTCTTGGCCAAATCTTAGCAACACTATCATTTAAGTAACCATGAATAGTATGCATTTATAGATTGCACTCACCAAAATTGTATTAGAATAAGGGAGATACCACATGCTTTTATCAGGCCCATCATCCGGGCTAGGAAGAAGGGTGCTCCGAATCATATTCAAAACACTAATAAGAACCCAAGTATTCATCATGCTAAAATTCCACTCACTATTACTATTAACCATCAACCATAAGGTTCCCAATGGAATGAATATCCACACTAGTAGCTAACTCCTCTAAGGGGACATTTGGTACAAGTGAATTTTTTTTTATCAAGGATCTGCAGGGAAAGTGAGTTAAGTAGGAAAGTTAAAAAGAAAATATGTTTGGTTGGGCAAAATATTACCTGGAAAATTGAGTGAAATTCCCTGAATCTATGCTTGGTTGAAGATAAAATATTGATGAGAAACCAGTTAAAATTACAAAATAGCCTTTTACTATATTTTAATTATAACTACTGTTGTTATTTCCAAGAAGAGAACTTCCTGGCCTTCCATGTGTTCTCTTGTTGTGCCTCGTGAACCATTTATTTATCATCCCATATCTTATTTCTATGGGGATAAAACTGAATGGGACAAACAAGTTGGGTGGATATATGGTTCCGTTACAGAAGATGTGGTGACTGGTTACAAAATGCACAACAGAGGTTGGAGATCTATGTACTGTGTTACAAAAAAGGATGCGTTTAGAGGAACAACTCCAATCAATTTGACAGACAGACTCCATCAAGTGCTTCGTTGGGCAACAGGATCAGTTGAGATCACTTTGGCGCTACTAGGTTACAAAGGATAGTTTTGGCAGCTTCCATTTTCACCATTTTCACTTAGCTGGTTATCCATCGAATACCACAATTGAAATAGGATTTCAACGCCCACTTTTTGGTTCAATTTTGCATTCAAAGCTCAAAATTGCTAGGCAAATCGATTAGCTAGGCAAAATTTTGGAGAACCTGTATCAAACATGGACAACCTATTTATCCATTTTCAGATGCCTAGCAAAATTTCAAGATAACTTGTACCAAACACACCCTAAAGGTCTCATGTTTGATAGCCACTTATCTTTCCAGAACCGAATATTTCTACCATCCCCCAACTCCCATATCAAATTATCCACACCAATATATCACAAGCTTTAATACTAACTTATCGTGGTACTTATAATTGAGGAAGGATATTGTGACAACCAAGTTGTGTTACTACCAACTGACTACCAATCAATCTCACCGTTAGATCGATTATGTTGATCCAACGGTTATATTTATTTCCATCTTTGTATGGTCATGATTTTCAAATTTAATACTTTATATTTATTTTCACCTTTGTATGGTTATGATTTTCCATATTTAATGCTTTCACTTTAAATATGGGGAATCATGACCATACAAAGATGAAAATAAATATAACCGTTGGATCAACATAATCGATCTAACGGTGAGATTGATTGGTAGTCACTTGGTAGTAACATAACTTGGTTGTCACAATATCCTTTCTTTTTTTTATTAATAATGTTTGAACCTATGGAAATAGCATTTCTAATGTAAATTTCGAAAAAGGACAGAAGGCCCATGAACTATATTTTCATGGCGGCACATGTCATTATCAACCAACCATTGTTAGGGTGTAACCCTAACCAGAACTTTCCCTCTAATAACTCCCCTTCTCTCTTTTCTTTTACCTCTTTCCAATTTCAACTAAACAAACTATTCCTCTAATTTATAGTCAAAAAAATTAAAATCGAAATTAAAAGCCAAAAAACCTAATCCAAAATGCCCCACTTAATGTGACCTCTTTTATTCTCTCTAATAGAATTTGATTCTTTCTTCTTTGTTGCTCCATTTCAATGGCCAGAGGCCCTGCTTCCTCTCTCTTCAACTTGTGCACTCGCAAGAGAACCCTTTCAAGACTCAAACTTCTTCTCTTCAACCGTTCTTCTCAAACTTCTTCAACCTCTCAATTTCACAACACTTTCCACGACCCACTTCGCCCCTTTTCGACCCGTTTCATGAACCCGGCTTTTCACCCGAACTTCTCCCAAAGTCGGAGTCTTTCCGGCGTTAGAATCCACCCCGCGAGGCCGTTTTCCACCGCCGGCGACGAGGGTGACGGCGACGAGAAGCCGGAGTGTGAATTCGACGCTGATTTCGGTCAGAATGTTGGTTTTGAGCTTGGAAATGAGGTTAGTGATGATGTTTCTGCTTTATCTGAAAATGGGGTTGTTGCAAATGATCAAGATAGTAATGAGTGCAATTCAAAGATTGTTGATTCTCTAGAATGTAGTAATAGTAGTAGGGATGATGAATTAGAGAAGAAAAGTGTGGAATGTGTGCACGTGGCATCACGTGACCCTGTGGAATTGTACTGTGAGCTTAAGAGTGCTGAGAGGAGTGCAAAGCTAAATAGATCAGAGGTGGAAGTGCTAATGGAAGTATGCAATTTGTTTGCCAAATCAGGTTGGGCATCAAACCAAGCCCTTGCTATTTACATTGGTTTGTCATTTTTCCCCACTGCAGCACACAAGTTCAGTAGCTTTTTCAGGAAGAAATGTCCTGCTGATGTTGCTAATTACTTGGTGTCACTTGGGCCATGTGATGCTGCTGTTAAGTTCTTGTTTCCTATATTTGTGGAGTTTTGTTTGGAGAATTTTACTGATGAGATCAAGAGGTTTAGGGGTATGGTTGAGTCGGCAGACCTCACGAAACCTCACACTTGGTTTCCATTCGCAAGGGCGATGAAAAGGAAGATAATTTATCATTGTGGTCCAACCAATAGTGGTAAGACTTATAATGCTTTGCAACAATTTATGGAGGCGAAGAAGGGGATTTACTGTAGTCCGCTCAGATTGTTGGCTATGGAAGTTTTTGACAAGGTTAATGCGAAAGGTGTTTATTGCAGTCTACTAACTGGGCAAGAAAAGAAGCGTGTCCCGTTTTCTAATCATGTTGCGTGTACTGTGGAAATGGTGTCGACTCAGGATTTGTATGATGTGGCCATTATTGATGAGATTCAGATGATGGCTGATCCGTACAGGGGGTATGCATGGACAAGGGCGCTCCTCGGGTTGAAGGCTGACGAGATACATTTGTGCGGTGATCCTAGTGTTTTGGATATTGTTCGAAAGATCTGTCGAGACACAGGAGATGAGTTGCATGAGCATTATTATGAGAGGTTCAAACCATTGGTGGTTGAAGCAAAGACCCTGCTTGGAAATCTTGAAAATATTCGGTCTGGGGATTGTGTGGTTGCATTCTCAAGGAGAGAAATATTTGAGGTCAAATTGGCAATTGAGAAACAGACTAAACACCGTTGTTGTGTGATATATGGTGCTTTGCCACCAGAAACTCGTAGGCAGCAAGCGAGTTTGTTCAATGATCAAAGTAATGAATATGACGTTCTAGTAGCCAGTGATGCAGTGGGAATGGGCCTGAACCTTAACATCAGAAGGGTGATATTTAATACCCTTTCAAAGTACAATGGTGACAAAGTTGTTCCTGTTCCAGCATCACAGGTTAAGCAAATTGCGGGAAGAGCTGGTCGGAGAGGATGTCTTTATCCTGATGGACTCACCACTACCTTGCATTTAGATGATTTGGATTACTTGATTGAGTGTTTGAAACAACCTTTTGATGATGTTAAGAAGGTGGGCCTTTTTCCTTTTTATGAGCAGGTTGAATTGTTTGCCGGGCAACTTCCTGATCTGACGTTCAACCAGCTTTTGGAAAAATTTGGCGAAAATTGCCGTTTGGATGGGTCGTACTTCCTGTGTCGACATGATCATATAAAGAAAATTGCTAATATGTTAGACAGAATCCAGGGGTTATCCTTAGAAGATCGTTTTAACTTCTGTTTTGCCCCTGTTAATGTTAGAGACCCAAAAGCTATGCACCACTTACTTAGATTTGCTACATATTTTGGTCAGAAGCTCCCTGTAAATATAGCTATGGGCATGCCGAAAGGTTCTGCACGGAATGATGCAGAACTCCTAGACCTTGAGACTAGACATCAAGTTTTATCTATGTATTTGTGGTTGTCAAACCACTTTGATGAGGATACTTTTCCATACGCGAAGAAAGCTGAGACAATGGCTTCAAACGTTGCTGACTTACTGGGCCAATCTCTTATCAAAGCTAATTGGAAACCTGAATCAAGGAATAAAGGGAAACCAAAAGCTGAAAAAAGTGAAGAGCAACTAGAACCAAGGAGTGCAGCCATACTAAAAACTGAAAAAAAGGCAAATGGCTATTCAAGGTCACAGTCGCTTTTTAAATTAAATGGCAAGTAAGTGCCTTTGGATGTATACCTTCTTTGTAAGTGTTTATTTGATTTCACTATGTGTTGAATGCGAACATCTCTTCTTCATTTCTAGCAAACTTCTGTTGTTTTTACTATCTAAGCATTGGCCTTCTTTATCTAATTGAAAGGCCCCTGGCTGGTTATGGTGGCATGTTCTTCTACTGCTCAAATTCCAACTCAAGTAAATTTGAAGATAGAGTTATATACAGAGAAATCCTAACTAGACTATGATTCTTAAAGATTCTGGATAAGATTCAAATGAAGTGAAGGCTACTTTTTTTTTAAATAAATAAAACAAAAGTATGAAAACAACTTGAGGTAGTAAGACTTTGTTAAACTAGTATACTATCTAATGAAAAGAACTTATTTTACCTGTCTTTGGACTTCTTAGACTTATCCAATTAGCTCATTCTGCTGTGCTGATAGTTTTCTTTGTAAGAAAGTTTAATCATGCATCTTCGATAAGAGCAATGATATCTGTATCATATTTATTTTTTCATTTCTACATGTCTAAGATAAATAGATAGCTTTGTAGCATTCCTTTTTCCTGGTCTTCTGTTTATCGCATGATCTTAGTTAATAAAATCATGTTTATTTCTTTTGTTCCTGACTATTGAGTTGTTTTTTCTGTTATTCAGGAAAGGGCATGAAAATTCCTTACAGCTCGATCAGTCAAAGAAAGTAACTGCATAATATAATGACTGTGGAGGTAACCCTTTGTAGCTCGATCATTCTTTGGGATGTATGCATGATAAGTTCTTTAAGCTTGCAAAAAATGAAAACCAAAGAGACATCCTGTCAAATCAATATATACCTAAGTTTGATCCATGCTTATCATCTACTGGAGTTCTGAAACTAATATTAAAACTTGAAAAGTTGCAATTATATTCTACTTCAGTGTCACCTTCCCATTTGTACATAATCTTATATTAAATGTGATTGGGCTTTTTTACATTATGAATCAAGCCCACAAAGACAATTATAAGGATTTAGGCACATGAATAACCATTAGGAACAGTTTTGTTGCTAGAACCTAGACTCATGACATTGGTATTCATAGGTTCCATAAATAGTTTCCTCATTAGGAAGGTTATACAAACAAACTTTTTTTTTTAGGTTCATAGGAAAGTCAGATAATAAAGAAATACATGTGAAGTTTCACTTAATTCCATAAATCATTCCTATTCTAGTTTCTTTCACCTGTAAATTCTTGTTCACACTACTTAGACCATAACTTTTCTGGTTTCATCCTTGTTGTGCAGGTAATAATCAACGACCACTGCAATATAACAACTTATATCAGGGATTTGCATAAATTCATTGAACTTTTTTAGCCAAAATTGTGGATTTTACCATGTTGGGAATGCATCCCCCAAAGAAAAAGAGAAGACTACTTTAGGAATGAAGGATAGTTACATTAGAGAGATTGAATGTAGCCTAGAAATAAAACAACTAGCATCCTGTTTGTTCTTTTATAGATAAACCAAGATGGAGCATTGTTGTGGTGCTACAAGTATCCTGTTCTGTATTTAAATGTAGCCTAGAAATTTTGTTGAATTCTTTTATATGCCAACACCTCTTGTCCAGGGTTGAATATTTTAGGCTTCATCATTCTTTCTTTCTTTCTTTTTTTAAATGAGGATGTGATACTAGGAATAGTTATTATTATTTAACTCATCTCCTTCAAATGTTCTCTTCTATGTCAAATGTCTCATTATTTGAATAAGCTTTTGTTAAGGAATAGTTAATTCTGTTCTAGCTCAATAAATGCACTGACTTTAGCACTGATTTTTATTAAAAAAATAAAAATAAAAATTATTTACTTTGCCTTTGAAATATGTATTTATCTAAGATTAAAATATATTTAATGTTTTCTTTACATATTTCTCTAGGACACATTAGAATGCTTTACAAAAAATTATCTTCACAATACGATGTGGTACTAATAGAATGAAGTAAAAACAGGTGATGTAAAAAGTGATGCATGTCATTGAAAGAAAAATGTCCTCTCAAAATCCTTCGTACATGATTAACGATTTTTTTAATCCTATTTAGCACTATTGTTATTATATTGACATGATTAATATTCATCTATGTCAGTGGTTAATGTATGTCATTGTTTCACACCAACCTAGTTTACTGTAACGATCTATTTCACACGCTACACAGATTGACCCTAACGATGACCAGCATTACATTTTTTGTTTATTTTTATTAGAACAAACTGGCAAAATTAATAAAAATTTATTGTAACTTAATAGTGATTCTTACGTTCGTTAGTTCAACAGTCATTCTCCAAGATTTCTAGGAAACTGAATTTTTCTGAATTTTAAATTTTCAAATATCATCGTAAATTGAACGTAAAAATCATATTTTTGAAAATCGAGATTTCCAGATAAAAAGAAATTTCTCCTCTACGAGAATAAAACAGTTCTTCAATATAGTTTTCAACCACAATTATAAGGGGCCAAAAACCTCTCTATGTATGAGTCCATATACTGGCATTGGTTTGAGTAGTGCAAAATAGCAAGACAATAACAAAACACAAAATAGACGAAAAAATGAGCTTATACAACAGAACAATCCATTACAAAACTACTCTCTAGTTACAACTGCTCTGCATAATCAACACTGGGGAAAAATAGTATAACAATTCCAAAACTTCCTCAAGCCTCCCATAAACGGCTTGCATGAGAAATTACAGCTAATATACAAATCCTAGCCAATAAGAAAATAAGGATTAAAACTATCCCAGATGGAGTCATTTCCCATCTCAGGGAACAGGCTGTTACCAACATCACATGTCATTTTCTCATGTGATTTTAGGACTAACGTATATAAGTTAGAAATTAAAGGGTTTCTAAGAAATGGATTGATGGTTTTTCCAAGCACAACTACATCAGATAGAAGATGTTTGGCATCATCATTGCCAGACACTAGGAAAATGCAGTTTGAAAGGGCATAGAAACCAAGTAAATTTGCATATAAGGGTAAAAATGTATCTTTATGGTTACCCACGCCTCCTATCCAATCATTCCCTTCCTGTTTCCCAATATGATCTTCAGCATATGACACCAATTGATGGGAAAATCTCATTCTCCATCCATGTAAATAACTCCTGAGTTCATCTTTGTCAGCCCAGGACTTCAAAATAGGTAGCTTTTCCATATTGGAGCAACAAATTTGGCTGATCAACAGCTTCTCTTCATAATAATTGTCAATCTCCTTGTCAAAAACACGCCTCACAAGATCTCCTTGGGATGCTACATAGGTATTAGCATGCAATACCCATTGACAAAGGTAATTGAAGTAATCAATCCAGTGACCAAAAATAAAAGAGAGATGGTCAAAACAAAATCTTATCACTCTATCTACTTGCATTGGAACCAATCCAGTAGGAAGGTTGCTTCTAGTTCTTTCTGAAGTAAAACACTTCTGAACATCTGAGGAAAGCCTCAATCTAACAGAGTCATCTTCATCCTCCAAAAGCCTGATGCATGTGTACCATGCATCTAGTACACGATGAGCATACAAATTCACAGCTTCATTTTTTTCAAAACTAGAAGATGAAGTGCCCACGGGAATGTGGTTATTAAAAACAAACGAGCCAAGGAGCCCAGCCTGCTCAAGCAAACCAGATGCTATCAAGGATTCAGCTGCTGCCTTGCGCATACTTGCTGGTTCAGATGATGAACTACATTGTTTAACCATGTTGCAGAAAAAAACAATGCAGTCAAACAACCAACCTAACATTTCCTCCTGACTAATTTCACTACATACAGTAAACTTTCCCATTCCTTCATCAGACAGAATAGAACTTTCAAATAACATTGTAATTCTCTTAGCACATACTCCCAGACAGCAAACAAGGATTTCTCGAGTCTTTGCATGTCTTGTTTGCTTGTACAAGGAAACTAGTTCGTTCCAAAATTGCGACACAGAGTCAAAGTCCATTTCACCAACATAACTTGTGCCAGTGCACTTGTCATGGCTTGCTTTTTCAAACTGCAGCAAATTCCAAGCTACAAGGATCCTCAGAAGGTAATAGGTACACCTCTGGTTCTTCTCTGATGCCAAAATCTTCACCAAGGTTTCATGAAGGTTAGCTTTTGCCCAGATCTGAACAACCATGATGTCATTACTGGAAATATCATAGACCTTACCACCAGATTCGGCTGCTTTCAGGAACTTCAGCAGCCACTTTAGTGTTGCAAGTCGAACTTCATATAATGAGTCTGACAAGCAGCGAATCAACCTATCTAAAAGACTAGCAGAAACATTCTCCAATTCATGTTTAGGCAATGATTTAGAACTGGGAAGGGAATGTCTCATAGGCAAATGGATTACCTCTTCCTCATCCTTAGATGCATGAAACAAACAACCAAAATAGGACACGGCAGCTTGTTCACGAAGTTCAGCAATGGTTGGGTCATAATACGACAGGCCATAAGATTCTAAATCTAAGCATTCTGCTGACAACTCTAAAAGCAGGTTGCGAATGGAATAGAAATGTTTGGTCATATGGCATGTTCTTGCAATATTGAGCATTTGATCCAGAACCCTTAAGAATGTTTCATTGAGGATAGGGCACGGGCAATGAGTAGGTCTTGCAATCCCTGACCGAAGCATAAGAATTTGGATCAATTCACCAATGATATGATCCATCTTTGAGTTATCAGCAAGATTCCTACAATTTATATCCAGCAAAGAACTCAACTGCAAGAGAATTCCATGAATTAAGTTGAAGGAAATACTGTAGGAACCATTAGTTGTACACGGAACAACAGGAAAAGTAGCTGATTTGACTAGGTTTTCTACACAGGGCAACTCAGATGCAATATTGAGAAGGACTGATGACAATTTCTCATTTGATACCAGACTTGTTAGAGCTCTAGATGCAAGAACACGAACTCGTAAATTACTTTGGGTTGAGCACCTCCTAATCCAAGGCATGAAAAGGAAAGGGTCTAGCTCATCTCCTGTCTCACCAGCAATTGATGAAGGCTTGAGCCTAGATAAGAGAATCAGAATAGGGTACAAGCTTGGATGCAGATTATTTCCCCGGATGGATTCTAAATCCCCTGAAGATGCAGGACCCAGAAACTCTGTTGCAACTTCCAGTTCATTGAACAGAAATGAATGCAGTGATGGATACCTTGGACCAACAAAAATGTTAAAAAGTCAATAGTTGTCAACTATTCACAATATCTCTGAACATAAAAACTGAGCAACAGACAGTGCTATCTAGAACTATTGAATGTACATGTAAACTTGAGCAATTAGAGCCCATAGGCTGCATACAACCCATGATTTCATGAAAATATTTCCGAAAGCAGTTTCAACTCTCAAATTCTGCAAAAATCATTAGTAGACAGTTTAAGGAAGACCACAAGTGATATAACACTCCCTCTGGAGGATATGGCTGACGTGTTACTTCTCTCTGCAATTACAAATAAAGGAGAAATAATGCCAAGAGAATAATTTCCAAGAAGGATCTGATCATATCTATACTTATCAACAGGCAATACATAGATTAAAGCACAGAAATCAGGGAATTGACTTTACATCATCAAAAAAGGTGATGTAATAATAAATTTATGACGACACCAAACATACCATGTCTCCAATATGGAGATGTACCAATTGTCAGTCAGTAAGCCTCAGGCCACTTACCACTAAGCATATCAATGTATTGATTACTGTCAAAGACAAACTCTCCCGAAAGCTTAAAAAGCCCAAGAATGGTTTTATATCAACAATTATCACAAAAAGATTAGGATACAACAAACTAATCTGAAATGGTAAACATCTCTCTATAGAAAGTCCTCATACTTCCTTGGAGTGTATTCCAGATCCCTTTTCACCTTCAAAATTCAAATTAATGTTTGAATTATCCTAAACTATTAGGATACATTTTTACTCGCAGCTTTTGCCCAAATTCATTAATTCCACCCCAATGTAGACATAAAAAATCACTTACAACAAGTGCTTGATCATAACTATTTGAAGGATAAAAACCTAATTCCATCTATTTTTCTACTTATTCTCTTCCTTTAGTGGTTACAATTTTGCTATACCATAAACATCTGGGTGACAGAATAATGATTCATTAAAACAGATGAGGACCCTAAAAGCTTCAACAAGGCTTATATGGAGCAATAAACCAATTTTTTACCAGTAAATTTCTTGTAATAGAAATATGAACATGTTTTAACACGAAATATATCCAATAAATCAGATGAACTAAAGTAATTAAATACGATAGTCAAAATCATACCTATGAAAAAACTCAAGCCCGGTTAGTGCACGTCTTACTGATTCTCGCTTATGAACATTGAGGAATCCAATCATGCGACGAACCAAAGCAGTATAAGCCAGACAAGCACTATTTCTGATTTCCCAGTATGGTGAAGAGAAAGAGCGAATAGACAAAACCAAAGCCTCAGCAGAGAAACCAGACGTATCAGTGGCCAAATTAGTGTCATTGAATGCAGCTCTTAGAACATTAAATGCATGCACTGTAGGAATCACACCCTCATCTCTGATCTTTGACAACATCTGTCTCACATTTGTTTCATCTGTCTGTGTAGAATTATTTTCTTTTGTTGAATCATTTGACTTGCAGGAGTTATCATTCAAGCTATCAGTTTCAATGTGATTCAGCATAAACCCATTACCTACATCTATAAGCCACCTTAATGCCCGTGGGAGGAGCTTCTTTGGTGTGCCTTCTGGCTCTGAGAGAAACAGAGCAGTAAATGCAGCAGGTATTCCAGCACTTCTTCTCAGCAAATCGTCCACTACTTGTCCTTTGGCCACAGTTCTTTGCATAAGTTGTTCCATCCAGGACTCTGTCAACCTATGAAGTCTGAAAAGGAATATACACATTAAGAAGTGGCAAAGACATACTATTTATGATATGATGATTTGGTTATAATGATATAACCTTCCTTAATAAGCCAAACAAACATAATTCTCTTTGTATTATGCAGAAGAGGGTAAATGCCACAGCCTAAGAATCCTTATTACATCTGCAGGGGCATTGCCCTTGACAAGATCATAAATATTAATTTTACATCTCATTTATCATACACATTTTCATCGTAGTGTTTTATCTATGATGGTGTAGGTGAAGAAAATAGGAATTTAAAAACCTAACTGCTTCAATATCTATCAGTAAAGCAAAGATACTAAAGAAGCATCAAAAGCCACCTACTTGAGGCCATAATTATTTGAAAGTACAAGAACAGAAAATCCAACCACAACCACTTAGACCTAGCATATAGTCAAGAGAGGATCCAATTAAATCTCCTAGATAAAGAAAATTTTATAAATATAATATAAAATATAAAACTATTTATCTGCCTTCACCTAACAAGCTTGAATTTTTGGGAGAGTTGGTTGTATCACATAGTATCAGAGTCTCTATGACCATGTGGTCATAAGTACTATCCTTGTCGCCCCCATTCTTCTAATATTCTAAAAAATATCGTGAAATTTGTGCATTGTCCACCATTCAAGCCCAATGAGCTATTGTGTGAAGGGTGTGTTGCAAATATAATATAAATATAAAACCATTCAATTGCAAGGAGTTTTCATTAGGAATCAGAATTCTAATTCTAAAAAAGCATACCAAACATAATATTTAGAATTGCAGGGTACATTTCCAATTCCAAGGTTCAATTCCATGCCCCACGCCTCATGTTATTTTGGAATAATTACATAGGAAATAAAAAATGTAAAAGCTTTCACTAAGAGAGTGTCATTGCCCCTAAACTTGTCATGAGATAAGGATTATGTTTAATGGGATACACTTCAGTGTTGCATTCCAGAGTTCTATTGAGATCTTTTTTTAAATCTTTTGTTTCAAAGGATATCTTATCCTCCCCTAGTTGGATAGATTCCCCATTTTATCTCTTAATAAAATTTATTTTTCCATCAAAATGTATAATAAAATGACAGCTTTCATTAAGATATAAGTTCCTTCACTTACAAATAGAAAAATATTTGTTAGAATATCTAAAAAATATCTAATAATATCTTTATTAAATCTTAAAATATTTTGGAGTACCCTAAATGATCTCTTAGGAGTGGTTTCCAGATTCCATTATATTTCCTTATTTGATTTGATTAGGATTAGGATTAGGAGTATAGTACTAATATAAATAGGGGTTAGCACTTTGTATTTTGTATCACATTATTAAACACTAATCAATATAATCTTATATCGAGTACTCATTTCCACTCTCTTCATCCTTCTCTACCTAAACCCTACAATTTCAAAAATAAAAAACTTTCTTAAGATGAAAAATCAATAAAGCATTTGATAGAAATAAAAATAGAGTACCAAAATCCACACCTTGGGTCATCTGAGCAAAGTAAACGATTGCAAAGAGCTGTGAACCCAGCCCTTGTCTTATCAATTGCACCATTATGCTTCATCTTCAAGAGAACTTCTAGAAAGTGATTCCCAATTGTTTCAAGTTGTTCCAAATCAATCACAGAATTAGATGAAAAGGCAGCATTATCAACAGAAAAACCCTCCGTCTCAGATAAATCTGAACATGCATTACTTGGCAATGGTACCTTTCTTATAATAGTCCCCAAAAGAAGGCTCACCTGAAGAAGAAAACATAGTGAAACAACAATGGGAACCAAAAAAGAAAACAAAATAAAATAAAATAAAAATTGTAGACTTATGCATCAGATAATGAACAACTTTCAATCAATTCTTACTTGAAACAAACAATTCTCTATAATTTGTAAATATGTTTTCTTGGCATCATTTCTAGAATTATAAGCAAGAAATTTTAAAGAAAATATTGTTATCAGCCAAGAAATAAGTAATGATAATTTGAAACCTTTATTCTTTTTGCTTTACCCTTTGAAGAGTTAATACCCTATTATAATCCAATACAATCATAAGTTCTTACACACTGTTCAAGTACCTCTTTCATAGCCAGCCAGCAACCAACCATGACAATCTGTTCCGATGATCTGACATCATGGGAAGGCTTTGAATTATTGTTCTCATATTCAGATGAAGGCATGTGCTCATGCTCATGATCTGGTATCTCCAACAAAAGATTATCATCATCAACCATCTCATCCATGTCTTCTGGCAGATACCAAGCATCTGCAGAAACCACCCAAAGTGCCAATGAAGTTACCCGCACAACAAGCTCCAAAAGTCTTTCCAACAAATATCTCATCTCTGAGATGCTAGACGATATGACATCCGAATTCCAGTCCAATTCCTCAAAAGTATAACGTAAAGCGAGTAATACACCATGGACAAAGCTGCTCTCGCATGCTTTAGAAAGATCTTGCTCTCCATTTCTTACAGCAACATCTAACCAATCAATCATTGATTTCATATACAGTATCACGGGATTCCTCAATTTACTAGACTGATTAACATCATTTACCAATTCAGACTTTGAGCTTAAATGGACAACCTTGAATGAGTCTTCAATCAACCAACCTAGCTCCAACGCATACTTTCTAAAAATAAGCCGTAAAGTTAGAGCTCCAGCATCACTTTCCCTTACACGTGGACTGCAAACTAATTTCATAGCCCATTCAATTACCTTCTTCAGCATGTCTTCATTTGAAATTCCAGGTAGTGGGGTTGGGAAATGGAGTAATATGTGAAAGGAACTCTCTCTCAACCTGTCCCAACTATCAATAATTGAACCAACTAACAATAGAGTTGAATCAGATGAAGTCATTCCCTTACTGTAAGGATATAGATGATTTCCAGACAAAGAACTATTAAACTCCTCACTAATTGACGGATTAATAGACCAAACATTTATCATAATCAAGATGAGATCCATTGCCATTATTTTTCTCTTGTAAGGAGCGGAAGGATAGCATGAGAAAAATAAGAATCCACTCAACCACCTCATAAAGCGAAAAAGATCATCTGCTCTTTTAATTGCCAATTCTTTATTCCCTTTCAAAGGATACACTTCATTAGCTTTATTATGCTCAAGAGGGTTCCAGCTTCCTTGCTTGAATTGTCTCTCAAGGGCTGTTCGAACCCTAGAGAAGAACTTACGAAACAAGCTGCTCCACTTCATCTGAAAAGAAGTAGAGCAACACCTCATATTCAAAGGCACAGCTTCCTCCATTAGAGTTAGCTCTAAATGAGAAGGCAGACTAGACGTCTTGGGGTTTAAGAAAAGAGACTCAGCAGCATCAACACGTAGTGACTCATCCACATGGGTCAATGCATTTACTAGCCACTGAACATGGATCTCAACATTTATTCCCTTTATGCAAACAAGAGCATGGCTTTCTGTTCCCAGCCCAGGCTCTTTTTCATCTGCTGAAGGATTTTCAGACCAATCAATGTCCCCTTCAACCAAAGCAAGTGACCGAGATACCTTGAGCAAAGAAACTAGAATTGCAATTCTCTGTTCAAGATTCAATTCCATGTTCACACAAACAAGCTCTGGATATTGCAGTTCATTTTCACCCCCATTTGGTCCAACTGAAATGAAACTAAGCATAGGAAATATACTATCCACATCCACTTCCAGTAAAACTGGCAGAGCATAAGTATTTATATTGGTTCGAAGTTTTGAGAATCCAGAAGCTAGCCCGTACAGAATTGGGGGAAGACAATGCCCTCTATAGAGGGCATACCCACCTTCAATGCCATCAGTCTCCCAACACTCATCACGCAAATACTCAAGGAAACACTTGAGAAATGATGTGGCAGCACAGCAGACATCGTCATCGACATATGCCTGTATTGCCTCAAATATAAGGTTCGGGTTCATCTCTAACATTTTCTTCGCTCCCAACCTCTTGGTTAGCAATGCTAGAGGAACATATCTTCCCTTACATCTTGACCCCAGGGAAAGAATATCTGATCCGATCTTCTGCAAAAACTTGTTTATTTTGTCACCACCCTCTGACCAACAAAGGGATGATTGAATGTCCATGAAAAGATCAAAAATGAGATGAACTTGTTTCACCGTTTGACTCAAAGGGTCTTCCAAGTTATTCCAGATAATCCTAAGTATCCGCATCCCCATTTCTGCAGGAATAGGATCATACTCTCCCGACAAATCTGTAAGATTCGATAACATCAATGTTTTTATCTGTTGTAAACAAATTTGCATCACAGTCAATGCATGAAAATTGAAATGGCTATCAACAGGGTTCTCACAATACTTGCATAGCTCAGGCAAAATTCCATCATACAATATAGTCTTGATACGCACTCCACCGTCTTTTCGAACCTCGTAGCCATTTACATCACCAAAATGAGTGTTAAGCAAGTTTCTAGAAACTGAAGTAAGAATCCCTCTTATAAGACAAAGCCTACTCAGCACAGAAAGACTACACATTCCCTGATAGATACCCCCCTTACAAGGAATTTTATCAATGGCATTTCTAAATTCACTATCACAATAACCACCAACATCCGAATTCGAGGCCTTTAAGTTAAATATACCTTGAAACAAGACCAGTCCAAGCTCTTGTGAACTGATACAAACTTGAAGAGCTGCACAGAGTGCTACCCCAGCAGCCACAAAGCAATCCCTGGAAAACGCAGAGGAATTCAATATGCTCAAAACAACACTAACAATCCCCTCCATAACACTTGAATAGCCTTCTAATTCTTCTAGAACCACACCATTCTCAGAACTACCCAATTCCCTGAACTTGGAAGGAAACTTCTGCAGCAAGTAATACAAGCAAGACAAAGCCTCTTGACACTGTTCCATAACAATAGGGGAAGGTCGAGCCAATCCATCATTGTTCTCAAAAACGACACCGGTTAAACCACGAACCACGTCCCAAGCTACCACAACAGCACAACCTTCAACAACATCAACCAGGTACCCCAACTTGGGCATACCCAGAACCGACAACACCGCGCGCGACACGGTGAACCGTTTCCCCTTGCCACGGTTACCATAGTCCTCGCAGAGTTTAAGGAAAGACCCACCAATTATTGAACGGAAAGCCCGCACCTTTGCGAGAACAGAAACAAGGGTTCGGTGCAAGGGCACGGAATTTTCAAGAAACACAAGCTCCAAGTAAAACCCAGAAGCCAAACGGACCGCGGGTTCGGATACGGATTCGGGTTCGGGTTCGGAGCGGATGAGGAAGTCGGAGAATGAGGAAGCGAGTTGCTTTGCGTGGTTGAGTTGTGCGTATGTGGAGTTGAGGGAAGTGAGGTGGAGGAGTTTGGCGTGTAAATGGGAACAGAGTTGGTGGGAGAGGAGGTGGTGGAGAGAGTCGATGAAGGAAGGAGCGAACACGACGGCGCTGTAGGTGTAGCGGTGGCGGTGCTGAAGGGCGCGCCACTTCGCTGACATGTTTGATGAAATGTCTCAGTGAAAGTGACTTTGGTTTTGCAAGGAAGCGCCGCAGCCGCAGTGTGTAGTGTTGTGTCGCAGGAAAAAAAGTAGAAAGTGAGAGAACAAATTGTTGGGTTTTTAATTTAATCAAGCTTAAAAGTTGCACACCATCATATTTCTAAGATGATAATTGAGAAATACATAAACTGATAAAAGTAAGAAAAATCTTCCTATTATTTAGTTTTGAATCATTTTTCTTCTTATGCTTTTTTAATCACTTAGCTTTTATGGTTTAAACTCAATCTTAACACCATTAAAAACTTAATTAATTTGTCTATTTTATCCATTTTAGACATATTTATTCTTTCTTTTTTTACTTTTAGTTTTTTCTACAAGAGTGGTAAGTTTTCAATATATTTGGTCTATTTTTTTTTTGTTATCAATTTATTTTCTTTTTCTAAATAGGATAAAATATATAAATTAATTAAGTTTATAACGATGTTAAGGATGAGTTTGGATGAAAAATCACTAGGGGTAAGTGATTAAAAAAAAACGTAAAAAGGCAAGTGATTGTAAACAAAATTAAGGAAAAGTTCACCAATGCCCTTGTAGTTTGCTTCAGAATCATTTAAGCCCCCGTGGTTTTTTTCCTATCACATATGCCCATGTGCTTTGTAAAAAATAAGAAACCACAGGGGTATATGTGATAAAAAACATACCCTTTTACAAACCATAGGGGCATAAGTGATAAGAAAAAAATCACATGGGCATAAGTGATTCTGAAGTAAACCACAGGGGCATTGATGAACTTTTCTCACAAAATTATTGACAAGTTTTTGCACTTTTTTCTCAAAATAGTAAGGGAGGTTATATTTATGATCTCTTTCACTTACAATATCTTACAACTAAATTTTAATCATTAATTTTTGTCATTCGATGGTTATAATTTATTGAGTCACACTTATTAAACCATCAAATTAGCGAAGATCAACAGTTAAAATTTAGCTGTAAGAGATTATAAGTGAAAAAAGATAGTAAATATAATTTTTCTCAAAAATATTTATAATAATTAGAACTGAAATATATAACAAAGTAAAATTACGATACTACTTTTTTAAAAATATTATTAGTTTTATAACTATAATTTTAATTTTTTTTATTAATTTAGAATTAAAATGTTATTTTATTATGATGAATAATGTTTTAAGTTATATTACATAACAATAAAGTGTTTAAATTAGAAAAGCATCTCACTGCTTGGTTTCAGGGACCATATAGCAGAAATTTACTCAATTCGGAACACAACTACCTTTTAACATAATATGCTATTCACAATTACCTTTAATAGAATACGCTATTCAGATAGGTATAAGCTTCTTTTAATCAATGGTAACTTTTTATCATTTCTGGTAGAAGCTTCTCCCATAGGAAGTAACTATAGTTGATTAACTAACTCCACATCTAAAATGATTGAAAGTATGTTGGTGTTGAGAAACATAAGCTAAAAAAGATATTCAGTTTATTGTAGTTGAGAAATGTAAGAAGCTTAAAAAGATATTGCAAGTTTTGTAGCCTGAAAATAAGTGACTATAATTAGCTTAGGTCTTTGTTGACTGTCTAAGGAACCAGCACTACATGCTGCAATTTGTAATGAGCACTCAAAACTTATGACAGACAGAATCACAGGTTCCATGCCAAATTGATTTTGACAAAGCAAGACAAAAGCATACTGTTCAAGCAAGATAGCGGTACAGTTTTCTGTCCACTTTATCCCTCTCCAAAAACTCACGCTCAATAAGGGATTCAATACGTTTTTTAATAACAACAGGATTAGGCAAAAACCGCGACTGCAGCTGCTTTGTGACCTCAGCAACGACATTGTTATGATCTAGTGTCCTCCTTGATTTCATTATCCTCACAATTGCTGCCTCAATCTGTGGCTTTCTGTCTTCTTCAACTCTTTGCCGAGTTTCTAGATTTTCTGGTTCAGACTCCCTTTGTGCGACAACAGTCCCTATCTTTACCTTGAAGAACTTGCTCGTGAATTTGTCATTGAAGAAGAATGTATCATTCTCAGCTATGTCCTTGCTCATGGGCTCTTTCCTAAGAACATTTTTTCCTTTGACACAGGCCAGAGACTGAAGGCACCTCTTCAAATCTGACATGGGTATGGCTGTGGTTTGCTCTATCTCCTTACAAGTGAACCGATCAGCATTGTTGAAAAGCATGAGAACACACATCTGGTATGAGGAAACATTCAGCTCATGCTTCTGGCCCTTACCGAATGTTGCTTTTAAATCAGCTGTGCCCATACTAGTTTGCCAGGACAATCTCCTACCATTGTGGGTGCCAAGATAATAAGCCCGAAACTTTTCACATACACCCAGGATTTCTGTCGGAAGATTACACTGAGGGCTAGGTTGAGTTGGCCAAGAACCTGTTGTAAGCACCTGGACAGCTAGTGTAGGGCTATCCGCCAACTCACCACCATGGAACATATAGAAACCCTGCATCGTATCATGAGAAGTCTTCATGTCAGTAAACATACCCTCTAACTTAGAAGTGAATTGATATCCACACTCTGTTTTGAGCTTCACAATCAAACTTCTTTCTGCATCATCAGATATAGTCTTCCCCGATAGAAGCCTTTTTGCCAGGTGTTGCTTGTAATACTTCTCAAACACATCCTTCTCTTGTAGGTACCGGAAAAGCATCATGACTTTGTCCAATACAATCTCCACATCCTCCTCGCCAACCCCTTTCAACCCTTTGCGAAGTTTGTCATCCACAAACAAAGAAATGAACTCCGGAGACCGAGCATTCAAATTGATGAAATATTCAAAAGAGGAATTCAAAGCATTCTGAAATGTCTTGTCATTGGTAAATGCCATAGTAATAATCTTATCATATTTATCCTTCAAATCCAAGAGACGTTGCACAAAATCTACAGGATCTCTCAATCTTTCAGGATCCATAACTAGCTGCTTACCTGTATCCCGAATAAAAGAAGTCATGACATCTTTAACAATGTTCAGCCCAGAAGACACCCTGCGAAATAAATTATACATTCTTCCTAAGTCCTCAAACTTGTCATCCACTAGCATATTAACTAGGCCTGAGTTCTCCATATGAACTAGAGTGTGCATATGACTTTCAATCATCTCCTTCTCCACCACATTAGTTATCTTTGACTCAGTTCTAGGATCCAAGTAGTGAGATATTCTCTCCATTTCTTCATTTAAACGTCTCTCAGCTTTCTTCAGATAATCCCCACAATCACAGGATTCAATGAACTTCTGGGACTCAAGACAGTAAAAATTTGCTGAAACATCAAGAAAATGCTTCTCAAAGTCCTGCTGGTAAACAGACAAACCCAAATCCATTAGCATCTTTATTATATTTCTCATCAAGCCTCTGTTTATTACTTCACCATTCCTTTCTCTAAGCACAAGTTCAAGAAGTGTATCTAGAAGCCTAGCCTGAGTTTTGCTGGAATGGATCACAACATCTCTCCAAAGATTCAATCCAAGCTCATGAACAGGAGTTTTATGGTTGCTTGGTATGAAAGTTCGATCCATGTACATCAGTATGTCTCGGATCATTTGCAATGCCTTGTTATGATCTACCCACTTCCTGTTGAGCTCTTCCAAGAAAATTTCCCCTTGAGCAGATTCAATTGATTGAGAAATTTCTCTTAGATGAGAAGTCATGGTTGTCACAAGTCCTGAGTAAAGTTTCTCCCCAAATTTGTGTAGCACCATATTATAAGCATTCCTGAATGAACAGATCATGATGATCAGAAATTTCAGAAATATATGCCCCCAAACATGAAGTTTAGCGGGGAGATCTGTCATAGTTATCATTTATAAAGAAAGCTAAGGCAGTTAGTTTAATTTAATGCAAACTAAACTACAGGTCTATTGCATAACATTAATTATATAAAGCTCCTGATTTTTGTTCAATCATAAACAAATGACAAGTAAATGGAGATTTGTGGCATTGGTTGAGTAAACACAGATTGAGATCTTAGAAACATGAGCTTTTTCTTCTCTCTAAATTCTATGAGCTGAGGTAAGAACCGTCTGGAATTTCTTAACCATCTGAATAAGAGTAACCAAAAGCTGGTGAACTGACCAGACAAATGGCATAATGATCTAAGACAGCCAAACAGCATCACAGAGAGCTGATGTTATACAGCTGAGATGTGAGGATGGAAATAAAGAACTTATGCAAGTATACTATATATGTATCTACGTCAGCATTTACTAGTTGCAACCCCCAAGCTGACCAAAGCAGGATAAAAGCAGGTATGTTTGCAGGTATAGCAGCCACTATCAAATCAAATGACATCCTAAAAGTAAAAACAACCTCATTCAGTCCTGCATAACTTGAATATGAGAAAATCAAATATTGTGACTCATGCATGACCCAGGATACACCAATTACATAAACTCCATTTGATGTTAAGAGTCAAAAACTTCCTACTCAAAATCCACAAAGTGAAAAGCAATTCTACGATAATAACATGAAAGATCATACAACTTAAAAGGACAAATGATGATTTCATCATAGCAATTGAAGGGCAAGAGTAAGGCAACTAAACAAGAATACTAAAATATTAAGACACGTGATCAATATATTCTTTTCTTTGAAAGAGAGCGTTGGCAAAACGGTTGGTGTTGTCATCATGCGACCTCGGGTCACAGGTTCGATGCTGACCTTACTTACTACAAGAGACACTTTTCTCTAAAATTCATCAAACAAAAAGTTAGCGCTTCACATAGACTGTTGAATTTAACATATATCTTCAGTAAGGCCTCAAAAAGAGAAAGGACGGAAATGGATCCTCTTATGCTAGTTTTTCATATGAGAACATCACCTAGAGAGAGAGAGAAACAAAGACACTATCCAAGTGGAGTCCTGCCAGAGTTTGAGAGGCCATATTTAACATCTCTGTGTCTTCTTCTTTCTCCATATGACTTGCTATGTACTAAACTATCATTCCGGGTAGACAGGCAGGCAACTTAAAAAATA